CTATTTCCTTTGATTTATGTTATGAAATCAATTAAAACATGAAATTAATGTCAAAAAACACAAATTATGTCAGTTGTCGAAAATAACTCAAATATTCTTATCTTTAATAATAATATAATTGGTACTATCTTAAAGTAATTCAGTAAACCAAAATTGATATATTGATACGACAAAATGTAATAATACAATCAATTTTGTTAAATTTGTAATTAATCATTAATTAACTGTCCATAAAATAATAAATCTAATATAATTATCGTACTTGGCATAAAAAATTAAACTTCTAGAATCTTTTTTTAAACGAATATGCGTTTTCCAAAAAATAAAATGAAAATAAATAATTAAAAATCAACAAAATCAGTTATAACGTATTTTAAGACTTTTACATGTTTTTTACTGTATGTAGTGTTTTTGTGGGCTATTTATTGAGAAAACAACATTGAAGTTATTATTTTTGAATTTCTTGTAAAATTTCCTTTACTTGAGTTTTACTTTTATTATTCTAAGTTAAGAGAAAAAAAAGTTATGAGACATAGATCAGTTATTTCTATTAAATTTGACTCTTCGACTCAACCTAATAGGCCCGGGGGCACGGGTTAACCTTAACGGATCCGTCCCAAATTTTGCACAGCTCATTTTTTTGACCATTAAAAAAAAATTAAGGGGTAGCGTAAAAAAAAAAAAGACATTCGATTTTTGAGGGCCACCCTAATGTATATATTTCATATAGTAAGATCAAGAATGTTTTTATACCATTAATAATATAAAAAGTTTTATTTATATTATTATAATTGAACATTAAAATTAGTTTATTACACCATTTAAAGTTTTTTTAATCATTGTTAACAATAAAACAAAAGAAAATTACTAATAGATAAATGTACTTGTATAACAATGATTAAATTTTTTTTTTTTAGTAATATCCAGCTACAATTATTAGTAGAATAGAGTTAGTATATTTATTAATGAAAAATGTATCATTTTATGGTTTATAATTTGTTGAACTGATTAATTGATTTATTTGACCTCTTGCTTTATTTGATTAATTTCTCTTTGTACTCAATTTTGACTCTTAGGCAAAGGGTTTGACAGGTGATGTGACGTTGAACGGCACTGAACTTTCATTAAAATTGCATTTTAGCGACTTCAATAGCACACGAACGTCAAAAAATCAATATTTTGGATGATTAGAAATAAAAAAACAAATAATTGGTTTTTGCGAGCTCAAATCAAATTCACGTAATTGCATAAAAGTGCAGATATTGCTTAAAAAGTTGTGTTGTCTGAATGCCTACTCGAATAAATGGAGAACGTTATGAACATTTTTATTTTGACTATTAGAGAATAACAGCAAATGAAATATAAAATACCGCGCAAAGAACATCACATGTGTATAACATGTATACACCATTATGTTGGAAGTCGTCTATCCTTTTACACGCACTGGTCTATGGTTTATATGTCACGCTTTTTGTCCTTGTTTTCGACGACCTCAATGACCTCTCATGTAAAAGTGTGTCGCAGGCTATCGATTACGACAAGTTTACTGATAAATTATTTAAAGGTGGTAAAACGAACTCATAAATGTATATAATATTTTTGCATATACACAATTGGTTTCTCTCATTTCAGTATGGTGAAGCGAGACGACAAAAAAAGGGTGACAATGATATTGATGAGATATAGTGTTTTCTACCCCTTCTGGAGTACAACTTCTAATACTTTGGTGACAGTAAATTTTACCTTAAAGTTCTCCGACAAAACAATTTCCTTCGATATAACTCTGGATATCTTTTATTTACCTCATTTCTAGTTTCTCAGTCTTTCATATCGGCGCCTAAGCGATATATTTCTATTCTTTTTCTCAATAAATCTACATTTACATAAAACACGGGAACTAAAATAATTAACATGGTCAAATGTAATATTTACAAAAAAATAAATAAAACACCCCTCATTAATCATATTTAGAAATAAATGTTCGACCTTCTCTGTTCATTTTTGGATACATCATTATCAATGATAATGATTGACGAGTATAAAACTTTTCAAAACATTTGAAACATTGTTCTTATTACACTATAATAGTTCTTCTATCGAACACTTCAAAACTATGTATACACATTTACTCCCCAACGTATTACATATAAATCTTTTCCTAAATAAATTCTTGGAAAGTTTTTGACTTATCCCGTGGAATGGATTTTATTTATATACGTATCATATTTTCTTATGCATGTTTATATCACGTATTTACTTAATTCGTCTAATTTATATATTGTTTCTTTTTATGTAGTTAGCCAAAACATAGAGGTTTTAATTTAATTTATCCTAAATCAACATTTTTCGATAAATATTTTCATTGAAGAATTTAACTCGCATATTTTGAGGTTTAGACAAAATAATTATATTAATCAACTAATAATTTTGATAGATATCTATAGATTACATAAGATTAAAAAAGATTAAGGTAAAAATATTATTTGATAATACGATGAAAGTTTAGAAAATTAAATTGGATCAATATTCAAATAATTAACAAATTTAAAAAATATATACAAAACAAGTCAAAAATTTCTGATTTCCTGAAAATTTCCTATATTAAATGTTCTGAACTTTACACAATTAAGTAGGATAATTTGAAAGAAATCTGTGCAGTAAGCTGTTACTTGAGTTAATTAAAGCATATTTCCAGACTATAAAAAGCAATAAAATTTCACCTCGAAGGAAAATATTGAGAAACACCCTGAAAAATTGGAAATATACAATAAAACTCTGGCATCAATTAACGTAGAATGTTCATAAATAATACAGAATTAATGTACAAATTCAAAATTCAAAATGAAGTAATATAATCATATAGTAAATTAGTGATTATATTTTTATAATTATTATTAAAAAGGTTTATTTAATAACAAGAGTTTCTGGGTTGTTAAAATCATATAGCCGTGAACTGATTGCTAATAGTATATTTTTTCAAATATGATTAGCATATATTAAATAAATATTCTTTTTGGTTGTATAAGTAATTGTTCAAAACATAACATTTGGTAAAAAAAACGAAAATAACATAGAGGCTAGATATTTTTGCTTGAATGATAAACGTATTTGTGAAAAATTAAAAATCAATTATTATAATGAAGGTTGAATAATTGTAAAAAAAATGTAATATCTCCGAATTTTTCTAAAAGAGATATTACAGCATTTTTATATTCACTCATAATATTATTTATAATTTAATTTTTTTTACGTCAAACTATATTGTATACAATCTGATTTGATTTCAGTTCTCGATAATGGTTATTATTCATTTTTAAAGCAAAAATCAATTTTTATTTCACAATTTAAATTGAATATTAACTTATATTTTAAATGAGTTTTTAATTAAATATTTAATTTGTCTTCTCACATAAATCGCCAACCATTGAAATTGTTTTAAGAGAATTATATTTATTCATAAAATAATTTTTAATGACTTATTATTTTTTATTTTTGTGTTAGCCATAAAAATTATACAAATATCTAAATACATTTTTATTATGTAGTAGGTTACTTTTATTGTTGATTTTCTTTTTGAATTTGATAATTGAGAAATCTTCTAATATTTCATCATTAATGACATATTAACTATAAATTGTACATTTTCTTAGTGATATTTTCTATAAATATTTTTTGATTGGTTTCCTTAATACTGACTGATATAGTAGTATAGCTACCAAGTATAGCTTGGAAATCAGTTTAGTTATAGAACATACAGTTATTTCACATTTAATCATTTTTTCTTTCAAATTACATTGAACTATTGTAGTTATTTCATCTGGCTATTTATTTTACTTAAAAAAGTAAATAAATATTTAGAAATCAGTAATTTGTTTAAGAAATCGGTCTGTATATCTCCAAAATGTAATAGAAGATGAAATAATCATCAAAAGTATTTACATTTAAATTTTGACATTAGTTTTTGTCTTTGTCGTTGAATGATTTTATATTCGTAGGTACTTTTTTTTAATATTTATAAACTTAAATCATTGATTATATATCACAGTAGAAGTAAAAAGTTGACCAATGTCAAATTACTTTAAAAACATACAAAAATTTTAATACAATTTTGATTTCTTGTTGTCATCATATAATGTATAATAATCTGATTCCATTTAATTTATAAATGTGTTTTTTTAAATGCACAATTAATGTTACTTTCAAATATTTGAGAACATTCTTGATGAATTATAATTTTGGTAGTTCAAAAGAAGTTGTTATCAAAATTAAAATTCAGCATAAAAAGTTTTGAATCAAAAATCTTATCAAACCGAGTTATATTTTTTGGCCGTTTACTTTGCAGAAGTAAACTGAAAACTTTATCATGCAAAATACTAGCACCTATAGAATATTTCCAATGTAAAATTGAATTTAAAATATGCCTATATTTGCATGCAGTAATAGCATAACGCATATCATAAAAAAAAAAGCGGATAAGTAATTTACCAACGGTTTCCAAATATTTTCAATAAATACTTTATTCTAAAACCTTTTATAAAATTTGATTGAAATTTCTTCTTATTATTTCTTTAATTATGTTAATTAGGATACTTAATGGAACTTACACAATACACTTTTGTCTTGTGCTTTTTAGCCATTAAAAGAATAACAAGATTTTTCAAGATTATATTTCAGTGGCTACAACAACAGCAGTACGACTAATAACATTTAATGACTATGAATATACTAAAATACACCAATACGTTTGCTATTAGCACGTTTTACTGAATTTGTCATTGTTCCAATTCGACACATCGACAAACTTAGTTCTACTTATGATTTCTTTTCATAAAACTATGTAACTGTGCTTCCACTAATGGGAATGGTAAAAATGAATTACTAGAGTATGTTTTGATGGTCAATTAACGACTAGGTTACACTTGGGGGTTGAAATACCTACCCCTAACTGCCGCATGACAGTGACCGCGGCCGTACTTTAATGCCGAGGACTTTTTTTTACACCGTCAGTTCGGGTTTAAGCGTCGGCACGCCGTGACGGTATTCGCTGCCCAAAGATCGCACGTTTACACAAAAACGTCATCGGTATTTTTTTGAAACGTACGAATTTAAAGGAAAAATAATAATATTATTCAGTGTAAAGTAGCGTACTGTATGAAAGTTCGAAAACGAATATCATACTCATGTTTTTTTGGATTACTTTCTCACATTACATACCAAAGAGCTGTTTTATTTTGTCAAAGTCAAATCAATTAAGTATTCGTATCGAAAATACAATAAAAAAACAGGGTCTTCATGTATAGGTAAGTCCTAAAAGAGTAATTTTTAAAAATAAATCTTAAATCAATATATAGTTTAAATAATGTATAGGTTTTATGTAGGTCAATACTTAAAAAAAGAAAACAAATTTGTTTTCCAATGAATACGTTTAGTTTTCTTTTACACCGTCAATTAATCACTTGCTTTTTAGATGTTACAATGATTTTCTTACAAATGATAAAATCTCTTGGCATGTTTTTGTTACTCAACTTAATGATTAGTGATTTTTTTTTAAAAAGGTTTTAGACTTTTTTTTTTTAAATATCAATTAAGAATTTAATATAATAATTTATAATATAATTTTGTATTTGAGTTTTATAATATATTTTGTTTTGAACAATGTATATTTATTTTATTTTTATATAAAATTTAAAATAATTATTTTTTAATTTGAATAGTTAATATTAAACACTTTAATATCTTAACGTTAAATTAATCAAAATGATTAGTATATGTAAAACCATAGTCATAATATGTATCTACAAAAACTGTTAAAAATAAATATTCACAATCATTAATGCATATTATTTCACATCTTACCTTTACAAACTTACGTACTTGAACACTAACTTGACTAATTTTTAATAAAATTGTATAAGAGAAACTGGGAAAAAGTGTTGTGTTAAGTGTAGTAGCAAATATAAGTACGAATTATTGTAGCCAAACGTCTTTTAATAAGTAACAATATTTTTAAATTATCTCAAATTTTAAATTCTGTCTTGAAGTCTACGTATTTAGTAATGAACTGTAATAAGTTGAAGATACTTAAAAAAAATAAATAAACATATCATGGTAAAATTAATACCTTCTCATCTTCGCATCGAAGCTAAAAATTGAAATTTATTCATTTTGCCAGAGTACGCCGGTAAAGTAAAAATTATAATTTATTTCAACAAAATTTATCTTATTCGAAATTATTATTATTATTATCTCACGCTACTGCTAATTAAATGGTAGCCCGACATAATTATCATACTGTATTTTCAGTCTACGTTTACAAAATTCATTTGTGATATTTAGATTTTTAAATATTATCATTATTCACTTTTTTTGAGGTACCACATTGCTGGACTTCCCCTATTTACTTACATGGTAAGTTTGTCAGTAATGTGATACCACATTTTTTCCTTTTTGAATTTCAAAGGATAATTTTTTAGCGCGATGACTTATATTATCATAAAAAATAACTTTCAAATAGTTTATAAAGGCAAAATTCAATCATATGCAAATCAAGGATGAACACGCTCAACTCTGAATTATGCTGAGTATAATCTCAAGGGAACGTTTTTTGATAAAAAAAGTAAACTTGTAAAATAATGATAGCTTATCCTAATTTTTGGTCAAACTATTTTTAATATTGATTTGCATTGTTGAATTGATTATTATTATAATTTTTTTTTATTTAAGTGAAATTTTGAAGTCGTACATTATTTAAATATACTTTTTATGATATATATTATATCATAATAAATATTTAAATATGATATATTGTTTCTTTATTAAATTGTTGGAGCACACTGGGAAATACCTAATGAGAAGGACTTGCTTTATTTAATAATTAATCGATAACTATAAAAATATTTTTAAATATTTATATTAAAATATTAGTATTCTATAAAATGTGAATGAATGATCTTTCATAATTTCCGTTTTTGCCTAGTGTGTATCATTCGCAACACTTGCCATATCAGTTGTGTCAATTTTATTAATTAAAGATGAATTCATTATGTGACCATAAAATATAAATAATTTTATTGTGTTATATATTTCAGTTTAAGTTTATGTTTATAAACTACAAAAATTACATAATTATATAGGCTCCGGGGAAAATTAAATAAATACTTTAAGTAAGAAAGTTTATATATTTAAAAGTAAAATTATTGATTTACCACTACGTGGGGCAGTAAAACACCATAATTTTGAGACCATCATTATTTTTGGGACTACTTCGGTCCTTTCAATATGTATACTTTACAATATAATTATTATTAATAATATCTTGTTTATTAGATTATAGTAATTATAGGTTGAAATGTTATCCGTAGACATAGAAGGTATAGAAACTAATACCTAAACGTAATTTATTCATCATGGACACATTATTTTAGAATTCTGGTTTACCCAATACGTAATTGAAATATAGAGCACCTCTCTGTGTCTTATTACTTACAATGAAACTTATATATCATCATTAGTATTGGATATTTATATTATTTATTTTAACAATTAAAAAATTTAATTGAACTTTAAAATATCAAAATTTTGATAGAAATCATCGATTACTATACGAAAATGTTTATTGTTGTAGTTATAAAGGTAATAATTAAAAAAGAAAAACATAAATGTAAAAATAAATTATTGAACAAATGTCATTAATTTAAATTTTCAAACTTCCTTGTCATTGCAAACAAAATATGATTTATAAAAATATTCAGTTACTGTCACTCAGTACTTAACTTTGATTGTTTATTGTTTTATATTTAATCAATCATTGTGTCACAAAATGACGAGTACAATATAGAAATTTAATGTAAAAATACTTAGTTTCATTATTAGAAGCATAAAATAGTTTAACAAAAAAATCAACTAACTAAAAATACGAAAATTGTTCTATAAATTTTTAACTGATAAAAATAATATATAGTTCAATAATTATTTCAAACATATATGCGTGTGCCATTTTTGAAAAATTAATAATGATATGAAGTCTGTTTAAGAGTCGTATTGAGCGTTTGAATTAAATCATGCACTACAGTTTAAGTTAAAATATATTAAAGGTTATTATCGATCTCAACGCATCACTGATCTGAATAGATTGGTATATACTTCACATATTAATATTATTGGGTAATGTGCAGACAAAGTTACACTCCAAGAACGTGAAAAAAAGTAACTTTATCAATATAGAAAAAGGCTTCCATGATGTATAAATAGAATTTATAACTGAAACGTCAAATATTGCGAAAAAACAATATTTCAATAGACACATTATATATTTTATTAAGCTTTTTGTTTTCTAAAAAATATATCTTAAAATTATTTGAGTATATTAAAATAAAGTGATTGTTTTACAGCGGGATAGAAAAACAAAAAAAACTTTTATTTTACGTAATACGTATTTTTTGACTTTCCTGCATTATCTGAAATAGAAAAAATGTTACTAGCCATTATTGGAATTGAAAGTTTTGCCTTGCGTGTAAAGAGTTATTGATTAAATATTTTTTGGCATACATCGAAAATCTATACAAATCGTTAATCTATTTTTACTGTCGTTAAAAATAAGTATCAACCGATTTGTTTCATAGTAATAATCACAAAAATTTAGTTTAAATTATGATAATTTAATCATCTCATGAAACAAATTAATAAAAAAATTAATTTATAGTTATAATTAAAAAAAAAGTGCACATAACTGTTTATACCTTGAATTTTTACCTAACATAAGCTAAAATCCTACTATTGATTGTTGATAAAGCATATAAAAATGTAATAAAACTCAAGAAATAGAAATACTCGGATTGAAAAAATACTTTGAAGGGGTGAAGCACTTCTAATACATTTTTCATGGATATATTTGTGGTGGAACGATATTTTTTACGACTAAGAAGTGCTCCCCAACTTAAATTGTTCTGAATTGAGCACTCAGTTTTTTCTTTCATTATAACGCAAGCTTTCAGTTATTGATAAATTTTAAAAGTTTATTAACACTATATGTTGATGATATAGTATAGTTATCTTATTATATAATAGAACAAGGAAAAAACTCTTTAATAATAAATATACTTAGCAAACATACATATCAATCACAAGCTGTCAAATTTTACTTTTAATCAAATTTACACAATTTTAAAAATAATTGTAGCATTTTAAATTTAATATAAAAACAAATTTCCTATAATTTTAGGTAATTGATATACTAATACAAAAAAAAATAAATATTGTGATTGCGTTTGTTTCACATATTTACAAACTAATCTGTGAGTATATTTGATTAATTGGTAGATTTTTTACTAAGAAAAACGTTGTCGAAAATTTGAAAAGCCAACGCCCATTTAATTAAAGTTAAGCCATTATTTTAGTCAATAAAATAATGTCATAAAAAATTATGTTAAATGCTTAAATGTGTTGCTAATCGTTTTTTTTTTTGTAAAACATGCAAAGATAAAGAAAAATTTATTTCTTTAAAAATAAAAAACACTTATGTAATGTAATAGATTATATACAGTGTGGTTTTTTAAGAACGTACCCACATTTTTTCGTTTAATTATGATTTTTCATAAAAATGTACAAATTAAAATTTGTTGTATTTTTATAAACCATAGTAAATGACAAATTTAATGTAAGAAAAAATAGATTTCAAAGAATAATTATTTTGGGGATAATTTTCAAAAGTTAAATGAGAAACAAGTTTTGAAACATTACTTTTTGAGTTAATATAATTTTTAGATATAGACGAAAAGGGTTCACAACGTTAAAGATTCTTATCTGTTGTCATGATTAAATAGAAATTCGCTAATGCTAATCTACACTTTACTTTTTTAAATCTTTAAATGCTAATATCTCGTTATAAATATTATAAAAGATAATTGAATTTTCGTTGACCAATACTATTTCTTAAGTATTAATAATATTAGGAACTATTTTTTTTACTTACTTAAGTAATATTTATTTCTCGAATATTAAATGGTTAAATATTTTTTGTGTTCATCCCTTGTTTCTTATAAGGGTAACATTTTTTTTTAATAGCAAATCACATAATCAACTAATTCATATAATAGAAAATGACTCAGCTAAGGAAGTAATTGGTCGATAAAAATTTTTAAACTAGCAATTTAGTAGTTATGAATGTTTATATTCCTGGTTGGGTCAGTAGCGTAGCAAAAGAGAACTTATTAATTGAAATAACATAACCCATATCTCATATCTAGTCTACAATTAAAAATGTTAATAACATCCTAATAAAATAAAAATTTTTTAGGACAAA